ATTTGGCGAGCAAAATGTAGAATATAAACCATCAGGGGTAGCTAGAATCGACCCCCCCAGAATGTTTTTTTTTTCAAAGCAACCCTATGGCTTGCGACCCCTCATTGGAAAGCTAATTGAAAGAAGGATCCAGCGTACTGATCATATTTCAGTTTGCAGTACGTTTGGGGGTCGCTTTAAATGAAAATATTTCGAAGTTCAATGTATTTTCATAAAAATTTTGACATTCATAGAACTGTGAATACGGCAAAAAATCTAAATTTGTTTTCGTGGCTCCATAAAAACACTGAAATACAATAGCGCAGATAGCAGTTTTGGAAAAAAATTGCAATTCATTGTTCAACACACATTTTCAGCGATTGATACGTTGAAGAAAAAAATTCGAATTTACATTTCAATTTGATGCAACCTTTAAACGTATGAAAAACAGTACACTAGATTCCTCTTTCAACCAGTTTTTCTATGAGGGGTCACAAGCCATAGGGTTGAAAAATCATGCTGACGGTGGTTCCAGGTACCCCTGAGAGGATATATTCTCGATATTGTTTGCAAAAGGTAGGTGAATACATTGAATCGTTGACGTATGTCGAGAATCTTCAAAGAAATCATTCACCTACCAGCTATCGAGTTTATTCACCTACCAGCTACCGAATCCATTCCAGTTGAAGTCTCCAAATTGTATATATGTAACCTAGTCCTTTGGACTTGATTTTGACCCACTATAAACGGACCGATTGATTTGAAATCTGGTAGATGTACATAATTCTGGTGGCAATGCATCATGGAATTTTTGTTAGACAGAAAGGCAAAATGGCGGCTCCAAAATGGCAGACGAGTTTTGTAGTTATGATCTGATTCTATTCAAAATTGATATCTAGGAGTTTTGGAGCTCAGAGATTATTATTCTCCTCTCGCCCAAATGAGTAAATTGAAGATGGCGTATTCAATATCGCAGCAAGTTTTGAAATCTTGATCCGATTCTATTCAAAATTGGTATCTGAGGGTTCTCGGAGTCGAAGATCAGGATTCTTTTGTCAAATTTGGTAAATTCAAGATGGCGAATTCAATATGACGTACGAGTTTTGTAATTATGATACGATTCCATTCAAAATTTGTATCTGTTGGTTTTCGGGGTTGAAGATTATGATTCTTGTATCAGAATTGGAAAATTCAAGATGGCGGATCCAATATGGTGAACGAATTTTGTAATTATATAATCCGATTCTATTCAAAATTGTAATAGGGGAAAGGTCGGAGATTATGATGCTCTTTTCAAAATTGAAAAATTCAATATGGCGGATACAATTTAGCGGACGAATTTGGTAATAATGATCTGATTTTGTTGGAAACTAGTATCTGGGAGTTTTCGGAGTAGGAGTTATGATTATTTCGTTAAAATTGGAAACATACAAAAAATATAAGAACACTAAAAACCCGCTTTTGTAGTTAGCCGAACTAAAAGATTGAAAATAGCTAGTATAGTTGAAGAAAACTGAAGAAACACCCTTTTATAGATAGTCAAACTAAAAAGAGGTAGAAAATAAAATGATTGAAGTGTGTTGATAAAATTACAATATAGAAAATATTATTTATTATTTACATAAACAGTATTTCGGAAATAAAAGATTTTTGTGGTCATCTCATCTGCTATGCTGACGATTATACAGCTATTTTTCATACGGGAGAAACTTGGCAAAACGTTTTTGAACTTGCTGAAGATGGTTTGCAAAAAGTAAAGACCTGGCTTGACTATGATCTATCGACTCTGACTGTGAGTAAGACAAAATTCATGACCCTCTCATTGCAAATTACTGATCAACCTCTAGAGAGTAAATTGAAGATAATAAATTAAAAGTAAAAAAAACTCCTCAATAAAAAGCTTTTATATAAACGCTCTAAAAAGGAGAAGATAAATTTTTCTTAATAATTTTACCTATCAACTTATAACCTCATTATACACAATTTATATGATCATTAAAGTTTGTTGCGCGATTCACTTGTGTGAATAAACTAGTACTTATTTGATTATGTGAAATCTGCTGAGATAAAATTTTCAAAATTACAATTTAATTAAAATTGATCATCGCGACAAGCTTTTATGATCATATAAGTTTTGTATAATGAGGTTATAAGTTGATAGTTAACATTATTAGGAAAAATTCAATTTTTTTCTTTTTAGATCGTTTATGTGAAAGCTTTTTATTGAAAAGTTTATTTTTACTTTAAATTTATTTTTTAATTTTTAGTTATCGCTAGCTGGATTTTTCGATTCACTCTCAACGAGCCTTTTCATATGATACCCATATTGTAAGAGTATATCGAAAATGACCATTCCGCCATCTTGGATGGTCCGCCATGATGGATTCAGAATGACGTCAAATCACTTTTCGAGTTACTCTCAACGAGCCTTTTCATTTGATACCCATATAGTAGAAGTATATTGAAAATAGCTATTCCGCCATGTTGGATGGTCCGCCATATTGGATTTAGAATAACGTCACATTATTTTCCGAATTACTCTCAACGAGCCCTCTTATATGATACCCATATTGTAGAAGTAGATTGAAAATGACCAATCCACCATCTTGGATGGTCCGCCATATTCGATTTAGAATGACGTCACATCATTTCTCGAGTTACTCTCAACGATCCTTTTCATTTGATACCCATATTGTAAAAGTATATCAAAAATAGCTATTCCGCCATCTTGGATAGTCCGCCATATTGAATTTAGAATAACGTGACACACCTTATCGTGCATTGTCATCCAAACTGAACGTGTATACAAAATTTTACCTCAATCGGTTGAAGATTTCTACTTCAAAATTGAGTTTAAAGATTCCACCCAAACATACATACATACATACAAACATACAATGCAAGTTAAATAAAAGCTTTTGAAAAGATCTGACTATGACAGACACAATCCATGTACATGTGAAACAATAGATAGGACCACAACCATGGAATACTCATATGTGTTATACTAGACCAGCAACTTGAATGGGATAAACATGCAAATCATATTACAAAATGATTGAGAAAGCTCATTCACACGTTCTATAGCCTAAGAGACATCCTTGATAGAAATAATTTACTGATATGTTATACTTCTTTGGCTATATCTGTGATGGGGTATTGTATAACAGCATGGAGTGGATCATTTCAGAGTATATTGAACGGTTTGCAAACTGTACAAAACACTTTATTGAAAATTGAATTTGAAAAAGTAGATTACACTCAACTGAATCGAAACAAACGGGATTGCTTAACGTCAGATCTACAAATACTTTCCAATGTTTGATTAGGATCTACTCAAACATAGGAAAATTTCAAGAATCCAGACCCGTACACAAATATTAATTTCTTTACGGGCCACCATTATATAACATGATGCCAGTGCATCTAACAAACAAAATTATCTACATAAATTTAAAAAAAAAGGTGAAAATTCACCTCACTGAAAATAAATGTAAAAACGATAAGATTTCCACAAAAATTTTTTGATTTGTAATGGCGCAACGAAGAATGAATTTAAAGTACCAGGTGGCCAAAAAGCTAGTCGTAGCTTCCTTCAAATTTTGAATTGACTCGGCCGTTACTTGATGGATGAATTTAAAGTACCAGGTGGCCAAAAAGCTAGTCGTAGCTTCCTTCAAATTTTGAATTGACTCGGCCGTTACTTGATGGATGAATTTAAAGTACCAGGTGGCCAAAAAGCTAGTCGTAGCTTCCTTCAAATTTTGAATTGACGACTCGGCCGTTACTTGATGGAAATCTTATCGTTTGTGAAGTTTTTACATTTATCACGGATTTCCATCAAGTAACAGCCGAGTCAATTCAAAAAATTCACTGAAAATACTTCCATAATCAATAATATATTTTGCACTGAAGTAGTCAAGAATAATTCACTTGGATTTTCCCTCTCGACATCGACATCGAAATTGAAATTAGAGTAAGTAAGTATTTATTTTTCATAAGACTTGCACAACAAGTATAGGAATTGTCAATTTAGGATAAAAACTGTAATAATATTAAAACTAGACACTAGCCCAAGATCTGGGAGAAAAAAAAAAAACAGACATAGAACAGTTTACAAAGAATCATGTATAAAACAGAAGTACTCTAAGACGAATGATACAAATTAAAATGAATCATCGAAATATTCCATGAGAGAGTAGTAGCTTTTATTTTTGAGGAATAATTTGCACTGTCTTTTGAAAAGAGGATTCTTTAGAACTTTGAGTGAGTCAGGCAAATGATTATATATTTTGAGAGCTGTTATGACTGGACCTTTTCCAATCTGTGCGAGTGAAGCTGGAGGAATGAATAGTTTATTTGCATTTCTTGTTGTATAATGATTAATATCACCACATGTTTTGAAATTTTTAAGATTATCGTGAGTGAAGCATAGAGCGATCAGAATGTAAATATTGTAAATGGTTGGAATTTTTTGAGAAATGAATATCTGACGACATGAGTCCCTTGATCTCATACCAAATATACTTCTCATTATCCGTTTTTGACTGATGAATACCTTTTCAGAACCAGAGCTATTACCCCAACATAGTATGCCATACATTAGTTGAGAATGTACACAGCTATAGTAGTATGCCATTATAGCTTCGGTATTTGTTACTTTTCTTAGTTGAAAAATTGCAAAATTCTTTGATGACAATGATCTTACCAAATTTCGTGTGTGGGTCTCCCAAGAAAGATTTTCATCCACATGTAAACCCAAGAATTTGACAGAATTACTTTGTTTGATGGATTCATTATTTTCATTACCAGGCCTCACCAATAAGCAGATATCAGATTTTGTTGTTAGCACCTCCAAGATCATTCTATTTCATATTCAATTTTCTACCCCTTTTTAGTTTGACTATCTATTGAAAGGTGTTTCTGTAGTTTTTCAAACTATCCTTTTTATTTTTCCACATGTTCTTATATATCACGTTATTTGCATAATTATTCAGGTGTATTATGTTTCATTTTTCCAGATAGATGCGAACGATACAAGAAACTCGAATTATCTGAGATATGTGAATTGTCCAAGGAAAGCTGAAGAACAGAATCTTGTCGCCTTTCAATACAAAGGGAGTCTTTATTACCGCACCTGTAGGGATATATCCAAAGGAGAGGAGTTGTTGGTGTTCTACGGGGTGTCCTTCGCCAGAAATCTGGGCATAGACCCAAAGAAGTACTTCGAACCTGAAGAGGAAAAGACTATGCCGGATTTTTATACCTGCAAGTTTTGCTCCATCGGGCTGGGAACTGAAAAGTTTCGCGACACGCACCAGAAGTATTGTCGATTCGATCCGAAAAAGATGAGACGATATGAAGGAGAAGTGTACCAATGTCAGTTTTGTAAATGTGGGAATACCACTAAGGAGTTTTTGGAGAGACACGAGAGAAAATGTTCGAAGCGCGAAGGAAATATTCAAATTGATGGGAAAAAGAACCATAGTTGCTTGTACTGTGAAAAAGGGTTCACTTACAAGTCGCAGTTATATGTTCATGTAATAGAAATTCACGAGAAGGAAAACACACAGGTCAATTCATGTTGGAATTGTGATAGCAAAAATATTTTCATACATGGAAGTGACCAATTAAATAGGTGTCAAAATTGTGGAAAAAGTTTCCAGATAAAGAAGTTTCGGAAACTTTTTTCATGTGAACACTGTGAATATAAAACAGTCAATTCGAGTGCTTTCAATAAACATCAGCTTAAACACAAAAAACCAGCAACGAAATATGGATTTGACCTTTGTAGTTACACTAGTTCTTATGGAAAAAATTTGAAGAAACATCTATTGATACATTCTGGTTATTTTCCATATTTTTGCACTGAGTGCAAGAAAATATTCAACAAGAAACAAGAATTAGATGGCCACATATTGAAAAATCACATCGATAACGAAACGTTGATGTCTTCAATTTCTAATAAGATTCATCATTGTGAATTTTGCGAATACAAAACAGTGAATTCAATTGAATCTACCATTCATCAATTGAAGCATAATAAAGATAATATTGCACCGAGTTATCACTGTCAAGAGTGCAATTTTTCAAGTTTTTGGAAGGGCAGTTTTGAAACGCATTCGAGAATACATTCCAAGAACTTTCCATATTTATGCAATGGATGTGAAAAGAGATTCAATCACAAAATCTCTCTGGATTCACACATCTTGAACAATCATAGAGATAATCAAACGTTGGTGTCATCAATTTCTAATAGAATTCTCCACTGTGAATGTTGCAATTATCAAACCATAAGGAGTTCCGATTTGAAACGACACACGAAAAAACACAACAAAAATATATAAAAATGATTCACGATCTGCGCGAGTAGGATACTATGCTCTAGCTACAACTATTCAAACAACAAAGCAAATTTGAGCTTAAAAATAAGTTTTTGAAAATCAGACAGGAAGTTTCGTATTTCAATATTGTTTGATCTTATAAAAACCTCAGTTTTGTCAGAAACTCATTGAGACATACACGGTGACATTTTGATAACTTCCCACCCTCAATATCTAAGTTCGAATCTAAAAAACAGGTCAATTTTGTTTCAACGAAAACACTTGAAATGATTAGTTTTAGCTCACTTGGCTCGACCCTCTAGATAGATGTTACCCTCAGAATCTCAAATTGTAAGGGGAGTCAAATGGCACATCATTTAGAATGACGCTCAATCGAGGGCTTAGTAAAGTCGTCTTCAGAAAACATGTCGCACATGGAAGATGATAGCATTCTCAATAACTCCTGCAATAAGAGCGCGGACACCGTCCAACCGCGACATGATCTCTTAAGACGACTGTACATGGGACAATCCGGTGTACACCCTATGGGCATTGTCAGGCATTGTACATTGCAAGGCATTGTGTGGTATTGTGAGGGATTGTTAGGCAATGTGAGGATTTGAACGGACACTGAAAAGGCGATATGGTGATCGAAATTTTGAATCGATTTTTGTTTTTTTTGTTCATTTCGTGAGTAATTCTTCCATAAAAAATACTATTCCACGCATGAGGTCACTAAAACATATATAAGAAAAAAAGTTCGTCTAGACTGCTTGGTATGAGTGGTTTTTAGATGAAATCCAAACAACTATACATTGTTTTTTGTTGAATTATTAATTTATTAATAATTTATCATGACAATAAATCAGAAAACTTTATATAGGAGATATAAAGAAGTGTTCGTCCCTTTTCGAGATTATCTCTTTTCAACACATGCAATGAGAAAAGATAGGTGTACTTATTCGTATTGAAGGGCAATGTTGAGTAATACGGGGCATTGTCGGGTATCATCAGGCATTTTTGAGTAAAAAAGGGGCATTACGGGGCAGTTTCGGTAGATTGGGGCATTCATTGCCCCCTGGTGTACAAAAAATGTCTAAGTACCAACCCCTCGCGTTCAATTCTCTAACCAAAGGTACCCTAGTTCATCATTTTATGTTGAGCAGTTTTCGAAAAATGCCTTGTCAATTCGAAAACTTTCCACTCTTATTACCATTCTTTCAGAAATTAATATGAAAAATCGAAAAGACACGTCAGTTTCATTTTCAAGGGAGACACTTGAAATCATATTCTTTGTCCTCTTGGTTCAACCCCCTGAGAGGGGTAAATGTTACCTTTAGAACCTGACATGAAAAAGGGGGCCATAATGCACAGTTTCTCGAAAGGCGCTCAATCCCTTTCCAACACAACCTTTATCATTTCCTGATAATATTAATACAATATACATTTATTCAAAGAACATTTTCCATAATGTGAGATCAATATACAGGGTATGATTTGGTTGATGGCTGAAAATGAAGGATATGGTTCCTCAGCTCATTTCAAGAAGAAAAGTTCACATGAACATGATTATGATCTAAACCTCTTAACCTTCGACCTATAGGGTGTTAAAATTTCAAGAAAAAACTCGTTTCCTCAATATCACTTCAATAATGTTTTAGATATTACCTGGGGATTTTGTAATAAAAAATTGTACGCCCTTGATTTTTCCGAGAAACCTCATCCATTTAGCAACAATTCACCTTCTAGAATTTTCCACGTCCAACAAAGAGTTTTCGCGTAAAGAAATGAAAACTGTTTTCATGCATTTTTGGCATAACGTAATCATTCTGAACTAATAGGCTGATGCCCTATTTGCTTTTTGAAATAATGACATTTGATCGAATACGCTGCCTTCTTGTTTTGACAAGTATTCATGAACGTGGCAGTTTTCACATTGTGAAAGTTTTTTCAATCAAAAAAGGGAAAGTAAAATTTCAACACCCTATAGTTCGAATGTTAAGAGGTTCATAGCATATTTTCATATGAACTCTTCTCCTTGAAATGATGTAGGGAACCATATCCTATATTTTTAGGCATTGAATTGAATTGCACGTATAGTTGAATATATATTGAATAAACCAAAGAAAAACCACACGAACTGTTACTTGTTGTAATGATTGTTGAAGAAAATACAAATTAATCGATATAATCGAATTATATATTTCATTCCATTTCAAGACACAATATTTTTTTATTCATCCACCTTTTTTTCATCTTTTCATATTCTTTCCTATTCACATATCTTATTTATATTTCCTATCATTATATAAAATAATTGATATTTTGACTCCCAATATTTCAAATATAGATAGATAGATAGATTTATTTGACTATGTAACTCATACAAAAATGGTTTATAGCAAGTCAGTTTAAAAGCACACATGTATTGAAATATTATATAAAGACAAACGAACAGAACGCTGAAATACACAATGAAAAGAATACAAAGATAAAACAAACATAACATTACAAGATAACATCCTCGATCGTATCACAAGTACATAAAATTCATAAAATTGAAGTTTGATTAAATTCATCAACCGAATAAAAACAATATCTGAGAAGGTGTTTCTTCACAGTAGTTCAGCGAATTTTTCTCAGTTTTGACTAATCTATAGCGAGGCACAAGTATATTATTTGAATGTTGATAAGATTAGCAAATAATTATATTCCTTGAAGAGTCTACTATCCAGTTTCGGATAAATGCCGTTCTAAACTTACAGAAGTAATTAGAACATGCCTGCACCGAGATACATGGTTTTTCGGTTTGTGTTATTTTATTGACTCGCCTTCAAATCGAAATGGTTAAAAGGAGAGTCATTACAATAATACTAACCAGAAAACCATCACTTCTGTATATTCAGATCGGTATTTTTTAGGAAACAGCTCATCGAAACATGAAAAACTAGGGTACTGTTGGAAATGGAATTGCACGTTCTCTGATAATGTGCGTCTTTTTCGTGTGAGGTTCTGAGGATAACATCTACCCCTCTTACGGGGTTGCACCGAGAGGGCTGAAAATATGCATTTGGAGTGTCCCCCTTGAAGATAAAAGCGACCTGTCGTTACGATTTGTCATATTATTTTCTGAAAAGAAGATATTGAGGGTGGAAAGTTTTCTAATTGACACTGCATTTCTCGGAAATTGCTCAACAGAAAAAGGGTATTATTGGAAAGAGAATTAAACGCATTTCGAAATGATGTGGCACTCGACTCTCCTTCCCGTTTGAGATTCTAAGGAAAACATCTGACCCTGAGAGGATCAGGGGGTTGAACCAAGAGGGCTCAAAATATCAATTTGAAGTGTCCTCATTGAGAATTGAATGGACCTGCCTTCTCGATTTTTCATATAATAATAATAATAATAATAATAATAATGTGTCTTTATTTTTCATTAATAAACAAAATTCATCGAGTATTATAAAGAGGAGGCGGCATTCAACATGGTTGCTCTTCCATACAACCCCCTAAGTATCCAACAAGTTGAAAGGCTATTTTCAATTAATTTAAGAAAATTAAATTACCTACTATTGAAATATTATACTATATAGGTACACACAGGGCACCAATTAAATATAACAACTGAATAAATCAATCAATAATGATAATGGTAACAATAAAATAATGATGACAGTAATAATAATGATAATAAAAATAATAACAATAATAACAATAATGATGATACACCTCGTGATACACGAATTAAGGATTGGGGTTTCTCATGTCAAATATATATAATTTGGCATATATTTTGAATGTATTGAGGGTCCGGGCAGATCTGACGTGGGCAGGTAAAGAATTGTATGTGTGAGTGGAAATATATGAAAAGCACTTCTGAAATTGGGCCAGTATTGTGCTTTGGAACGGTATAACAGTCAGGTGAGCGTGTCAATCTGTCATGTATATCTGAACCTTTTGAAAGCTTATTGAACAAATATGGAGGAACACTTTCTCTATTATCTAACTGGAAGGAAGATATTGAGGGTGGTAAGTTTTCATAATGTCACCCTGTATATTCAGTATTGAAATCATGGCTAACTGTGATGGATCTTATTTTCATTGTATGAGATATTTTGCCTCTTCATTAATAAATATGCGAAACGAACATGTTCACCGAAATCGCACATCAGACGTATTTGGAGTTCTAAAAATGACACTGATCAGAAAATGTTCGTCTATACAAAAGGGTTGTCAATTGAGTCCTGTTCAATGCGATTATTTGAAGATATGGAAAGTGGAAATCAATTTCGTTATTGTGAATAAAAATCTGTATTTCGTGTGACTTCGCTAGACTACTTATATCATTTGGAGATGATGATGATCAGCCTCATTATTTATACCTGAGTATATCTGTTTTCGAGTTTCTGTATATACAGGGTCATTGGAAAGGACATTTACTTTGTTTTTTCAAAGCAACACCTTATATATTTCCTGACGTCGACTATGTCGATAGAACTTGTCATTCTGATTTCAAAAATATTTATGAATTGCATATTTGGATGGAAAATAATTGAATTATTGCTGTTCAAAATTTACCAAAATTCCGCATCTTCCATTCATATTTCTTGTACTGGGATTGAAAGATTTCTATTTTATAATAAACAATATCATGTCATTTCCATTGAGCCTGAACGATATACAAACATAATTTTTTAGCCCACTTTGTTCAATTATTTACATTATTAGATGATATGTATTGAAGGTTCATAAAGCAGTATTTTGGTAAACTTTGGTCATCAATAACTCAACTATTTCTCATTCAAATATGCAACTCACATCAGAAAAAAATACTATATCGACATGTTGGAAAATATATAGGTTGTTCCATTGAAACAATCAAAGTTCATGTCCTTTCCGGAAACACTAATGACCCTGTATATTGAACAATTTTACGAAATGACAGTTTGGGTCGTTTCAAAAAACTATTTTTGTCAACATTTTTTTATATCTCTGAGAAAAAGAGAGTTAAGGGGGAATTCCAT